CCATGGCCCGCCAGGACAGCGGCCCTCGCTCGCCTGACCTCCGCGCTATTTTCAACCCGCTCGCCAGCAATCCCGTCAACTCAACCGGGCCATCATGGGACTCTTCCAACGAAGACCTGTCTGGCTCACCCAGCTCCCCTCTCAGGCCCCGTGGAATGACCAACTCCTCGCAGCAAAATTTCCATCCAACACCGCCTCTGAGATCCGTGACCTCGATCCCCGACTACGCCCAATACCGAGGCAATGAACGCTCCAATCTATCCGGCACATACAAGCCGAACAGAGGTGTTCCCAACTGGTCTCACACTGACTATTACCCTCCCCCACCTCGGCCGTTCCGTGGTGAGGAGCCACGGGCCAGTTTCAGATCCGGTTGGACCAATGCGTCTTCCAGTGTACTCGAAACTAGTGGCACGGAAAGAAGCAGTATTGTCACCGCACGGAGCTCCATCGCCAGTGATCGACACAACAGCGTCTATTCCCGGGATCCATCGAGAGATCGTCTGGAACGCCTTCGGGAACGCGACGGTTCCCCGGAAACAATACTGACTTCAGAGATCGCCGAGGAAGATGAGAATCTAGACGCCGTTGGCGATGTGTTGGATTCATACTACTACGATGAGGAAGATGAGGAGCGTAGTCCTATCATGGAGCAGGATGAACGAGACATGCACAGCCCCTCGCCAGCAGGTCTTGACGCGGAACTCCCCGAGCTGTCGCAAACGCCCTCTCGCGATTTCGATTCCTTAGACTCCTTTCAATCGAACGAAAGCCTCAAGCAATGGGATGACCGGACTCGCCTTTCGACGCACAGTAAACTTGGACGTAACGCGGATTCCAAGGAGCTATTAACGATTCGTCCTCCTTCCGGCTCGGACGTGGATGAGGTATACAATCTCGACCCAACAGAGCGAAAGGCGCTTCGAATCGAACTACTGCCCTCGGTACAGGTCAGTCCGTTCCAGGCCGCATACACCCCACGAACGATTGAGGCCGCAACGCAACAGTCCAGAAAGAAGCGATCGAGCACAGTGAAACGAGCAAGTGAAGAAGCACCGAGGCGTGTGTCTGTTACACTGCAAGCTCTTGCTCTCAGAACCACGGAAGCCAAGGGCCACCGCTCGAGTAGATCGATGGGTAGCCGCTCACAGCTAGACCATATCCGTCGTGATATTTCCAATCTTCCACAACTGCCCCCAAGTCGGTCGCGAATGTCGCGCCAGGATTGGGCCAACATCGAAGCTTACTCCAAGCGACACAGCAAGAGACCAAGCGTCCCTCGCACTTTTTCCAGTGAATCTCTTGCCAGTTCCCATGTTCCTCAATCTCCGCCTATGCAAAGATCTGAGCCACTCCCCGAGCTGGACGAAGATGAGGCTATTCCTCGTCGCGCTTCCACGAGTGTCTTCGACCGAAAAAGCGCACTGTTCGATCTTGGCATGATGTCTCAGCTCACGACAGCCAAGAGCAAGCCCGAGTCCCCAAGAGGCCCTACATTGGCACCTCCCAGCCAAATCCCCACCGTAATACCTGGCCTGCGAAAGACGGCTGCCCCTACCGAGAGAGATCGCTATGGATTCAAGAAAGCTTCCGATAAGATCAACGTGCAGGAGTACAACGCATGGGCTTCCAAGTACGAAGACCACATCTCCCGCCGGAGAGGCAAATGGATTTCCTTGATGGCTAAGCAAGGTCTGTCAACGAATGAGCCTACTAGGTTCCCTGAAATGTGCGAGAAGGTCAAGCGCTATGCTCGCAAGGGCTACCCTCCTGAGTGGAGAGGTGCCATGTGGTGGTACTATTCTGGTGGCCAGCATGTGCTTGCGCGAAAGGAAAATGTAGGCTTGTACAAGTCTCTGGTAGCTCGCGTCAACCGTGATGAGCTCAACAAAGACGACAAAGATGCCATTGAGCGCGATCTCGACAGGACATTCCCCGACAACATCCATTTCCGCCCGGAAGCAGCGACTGATCTACTGGACGGCGAGTCTGACGACGAACCCGTGTTGATCCAGGACCTGCGCGAAGTCCTATCTTGCTTCGCCCTGAACAACCCCAATATTGGTTACTGCCAGTCGCTCAACTTCATTGCCGGCCTTCTTCTATTGTTCCTGAAGCAGGACAAGGAGAAGGTCTTCATCCTTCTCACAATCATCACGCAAAATCATCTGCCTGGTGCTCACGCTCGCAGCTTGGCAAACACCGAGGTCAATGTCCTGATGATGCTGATCAAGGACTACCTGCCAAAGGTATGGGCATCAATTAACGACACCGATCTCATCAACAGCGGCGCCGGCTCCAACGCTCACCCCAACTCCAAGTTCCAACGCCAGCCCACAGTCGCTCTTTCATGCACTTCCTGGTTCATGAGCATCTTCGTTGGTGTGCTGCCAATTGAAACGGTACTCCGCGTTTGGGACGCCTTCCTCTACGAAGGACCCCGTGCCCTTTACCGCTACGCCCTTGCCATCTTCAAGCTGGGTGAACCAGAAATCAAAAAGTACCGTCCTGGCGATGGCGAAATCTTCATGGCAGTCCAGACACTGCCCAGGCGTTGCCTCGACCCTAACATCCTGCACGACCTGGCGTTCGTGAAGAAGGGGTTCGGTAACCTGTCACAGAACGTCATTGACCAAAAGCGCATGTTCTGGCGTGAACAGAACATTCTGGCGCACCAGACTTCGGTCAAAACCACAAACGGTCGACGAATGCTCACCGTACCACAAGAAGAAGATGAAGATGATGATCGGGACAGCCTCAGGAAGGCCATGGGCATGAACCGCCTGCGCCGTCGCGCATCCCGCAAGTTCCGCCAAATGGGCATCAAGTGAAGAAGCCAGACTTCTCTCCACCCACACCATCAACAAAGAATCAGTCAACCAACTGAACGTTCAGCACGAGTCCAACGTTTCTCGGCCGTGCTTTTCTCACTTACATATACGTTTGCAGCGTTTTATCTCCCTCATCGTCCGGCGTTTTACCAAAAAAGAGAAGGTGGTCTATCTGGGTTACTTTGCTTTACCTTCTTGTATAATAATCACGATATACCCTTTTTGCGGGCGGAAGCTTTTCAACTTGAAAGAAGGATTGTAGAGAGCTAGAAGGGATGGAGATGGGAGTGCTTGTCGCAAGCATAGCATCGCATCAGATGGACGTGCTTTTTGTTGGGTAATGGTTACGATGTTATGACCCTCATCAGTCAATCAATATACCCTGTTCGTCCTGCTTAGAAATACTTCGACTTTGTTGCATGTCGCTATGAGTGAAAGGAAGTCCACGAACCAAGGCGCGCATGTGAATCACAACCACGTTTCACTTGATTGGTCCAGTCCCAGATTGCGGGGCACTAATCCCCCACCATGGATTTTCGGCGTACGCCGCTCTAGCCTTGCCTACCTAAGTAGGTAACCATTTCTTGACTCTCCCGCGGGCGGACAGACTTTTTTTTTTGCAAAAACAATTCCACTCCTCCGTTCAACTTTGATTTCGCTCTGACCACTTGGAGATATTATTCAGAATACTACCGCGAACATGGTCGAGAAGGTTTACGTCACGTACAACCAGGTACGTTCTTTCGAGGTCCAATGTTACACATGCGATCAGACACCCCGCGCACGCACGCGCGTGAGGTGTCTTTGTGTCACCACGATGTATACGACGCGAGGCTGGTGTCGCGCCATGCAGATGTTGCAGAAAGCGATGCTAGAGACTCAGTTCGTATCGTATCCATGCGACCACGACAATCGAACCCTTGCGCAACACGAAGCAGCAAACAAAGCACAAAGACCACAGCTAACAAACCTCCTCCGCACAGGTGCACAAGCTGTGCCAAGAAGCCGCGGACCAAATCCTCAATGACTTCAAGCCCAATCTCATGATCGCCATCGGCGGCGGCGGCTACGTCCCCGCGCGCATCCTCCGGTATTATATCCCCAACCCACCACGACACAGTACATACCAAACCAGACAACATGAACTAACAAAACCCGTCACCCAGATCCTTCCTCAAGCGCGAAAACAGCCCCAACATCCCCATCCAAGCCATCGGCCTCTCCCTCTACGAAACCCTGCCCACAACCACAGACAAGGACGTCGAAACGCCCGGCACAAAAGTCACCCGCACACAATGGCTCGACCTGTCTTCTCTCGAGATGGCGAATCTGATTGGCAAGAACGTGCTCATAGTCGATGAGGTCGACGACACGCGCACGACGCTGGAATACGCAGTCAGGGAATTGGAGAAGGATGTGGAAGCCGCGGTCAAGAAACTGGGTCGTGAAGGCGAGAAGACGAATTTCAGTATTTTTGTGCTGCACAATAAGGATAAGGCGAAGAAGGGGGCGTTGCCGCAGGAGATTCTCAAGGGGAGGTATAGTGCGGCGAGGACGGTGGGGGATGTTTGGATTTGTTATCCTTGGGAGGCTACGTATGTCTTTTTCTTACTCTCTACCTGCGTTTCTGTATGTTTTTGTGATAAGTGCTAACGGTGTTTTAGGGATATTGACGAGCACGACCGTCTTTCAAGGGAGCAGGAGGGTAAGCAATAGGATTTTTTCCATCGAGGAAGGATAGAAGGGAGATGATGACGATGCAAGAGAAAAGTCTGCGTGAGATTTACGGCATTCGATCGGTAGCATTTAACGGACGGATGGGATATACAGGAGTTTGAATGGGATTGGATAGCAAGATAAATATTGAATGAGCATATCACTTTGCGTAGATGCCAGTGTTGGCTTAACGGGCTTATCATTTCACAGTTCAAGATTGACATGTGTCATGCTCGACTGACTGTTGATGACTTAATCGGAGTAGGGAGTGTAAGTGTTGGGTAGAGATTGCGGATAGGGCGTGCGAGGTAAGAGGTGTAGATCAGTCACTCAGGGCGCAGTAGAGTATTCAGAGTTGGTTGGTGTCCAGTTGTATGGAGCCTTACCAGGGGTTGCTAGAATCCCTATCGCATTTCCAAGGTTTGCTACACATACACTACTATATCTCAATGACTAGTCAGATTCTGAGCGTAATGAAAGCTCCTGCCTCCGTCGTTCCAGCTCCGGCCCCCAGATCTCCTTTACACGGGCATATGGCCGAGACTGTAGCCACCCCTTGTAATGTGGTTGGTCGAACCAAGTATCCATACCCTTCAACACCTCAAGCTCTCCCACATCAAAGAAGGATCCACTCTCCTGCGGTTTCTTCCCCTGATCATCGTCGTCAAAGCAGAGTATGTAGAGCCTATCCCCAGCGTTTCTGACCACGTAATTCTCGTTCAGCACAACGGGGGCGTTGATATCGTCCCGGTCATGGACTGACTCGTTGTCCGTTGATTCAGATACGATGGGCTTGTAGGTTCTGCCGTTACTGGCGCCCTCAACCGCATTCATGTCATGCTTGTCGGCGTTCCCATCCATAAGCGCAATGGTGTCGCGCATTTCGCCTTCGACGTCCCCGTCCCAGAATGTGGCATAGCATGTGTCCTTCCACCACGCCATGGTACCGTTGGTATTATCAAATTCGGGGTGTTCGTATAGCCGGGAACCCTCCCATACACTCATGTCCATCTCTTCTTCGTTGAATCGCACTAGGAAGGATGACTTGCCATTGGTGTCTCGCATGACTATCGATGATATGCTTTGCTTGTCGTCGACTGGGACGAAGGTATTTGGAATACGGGGAAAATGCGAGAGAGGAGTTACCCCATGGAGGTTTGCGTGGTGTGTACTAAGGCACTCCCCACTGTATGTGTAGCGACCGAATGCGAAGTACATTTGATGGACAGGAACGTCATTGTTACGTGCGGCATTGGCAAATAAGATGATTGTCTGGGTCGCAGGCTGTATGATAGGAGCAATGCCATTTGATTCCTCCATGCTAGACCCGGATTAGCTTCACGTGCAAAGAATGCATAGAGGATCCCAGTGTTGGTGGATTCCTTGGCTTCAAAGGATGCGAGCACCGCTCAGCAACCCCAAAGAGATTACTTACATGACATCTGTCCCCCAGAACATGTTACCGGGTTCAAAATTAATATTGAAGGATCTTCCACGCTGGGAGTCGTATTCCCAGATAAACACCGATGCAAAACCGGAGTCGACATGATAACATGCGACAGTGCGCTCTCGACAGGCAACGCTGGCGAAATAGTTGTTGTTTGGCACTCTGAACTTCTTGCAACCTCGTTTACCATGCAATTCGTGAACGTAGCAGATGTTCGCCCAGGTTGTTAGCGCCACAATCTCACTAGATACGAAGACGTCGATAATTCGTTCACGGCCTTCGCCACCCAGGAAGCGAAGATCCCATGTAGCTAGATCGAGGACGCAAACATTTCGCGATTGGTTTTCCGGAGTGAAGGTTAGGCTTTGCCAGATGAGACTGTTTCCTGCTAAGTAGATATCATCTATAGAGTCCTTGGGTGTTATCTTGTAGACTTTGCGCGGCTTGCCGGTACGAAAGGCATGGATCTTGCGGGCTTTCTTCTGACACAGAGCGTGGTCGGCATCTTGGAAATTGACAGTACCTTGGTACCAACTGTTGAGGCTTGCTTTGATAACGTGTAAGCTCTGAAGAGTGTGTTTCCATCGTCTTGAGACACTTTGCAAGCGGTAAGGAGCAGCAACGTCTAAATGCGAGAATACCTGGGCCACTAGCTCAACGGGTAGATTGCCGATGACGTCGAATTGGAAGGTACGACTGCTTGTCGTGGCGTGGAGTGTCCTCCACTCATACGGCGATAATTCTGCTGTCAGAGCTTTGAGTGCCTGTTCTCTCTCATGTACATGCATGCGTCGAAACGCGTCGATGAAGTCGGTAGTCATGCTGCTTTTTCTGCCGATCAAAGGCAGGGCTATCGATAGGATGGCGACTCGCCACCCGAGCGGTCGGTGATAGACTGGTGCGGTGACGGCAGGTGGTAGCGTCGGGGTAAAGCTAACGTTCTGCGTTGACGGCACCTGGGTTGGGCTGGGGAAAGTCGGTCGAGGCTGACTCGAAGGAAGGTTGGTGGTTGACGTTTATCCAAGGAGGTCTGTGCGTGTAGGCTGCCTGCAGACCCTGGACCCTCCCCTGCCTTACACCACGCGTGAAAGCCGAGGATGGCGCAGATGCTCGCGAGTCGTACTAGCAATGTTTGACCATGGGCAAGGGAGTCAGTCGGCTTCAGCTGCCCGGCAGCATTTGAGGCAACTCTGGCGAAGGTTCGGTATTCTAGTCTGTGCCACTCCCCTTCCGCATCCGCAGCCGCATCACGGGCACTCGGGAGGAGCATAGGCATATGAGGCGCATTATATGCTGACCCCGCAGCAGAAACAGTTCGCGTTATAGTGATATTAGCGGTGGGTTATTATGGTCGAGCAATGTTTCAGTGTCTCGACCTGCAGCTGGCCGAGGGCAGGGGTCGCGGGCACATGCAACGTCGACAAGGAGCGACGTCTTTGCCGTGAGCTGCATGGCATTGCCCTACCATGGCAGCAAACCCGGACGGCGGGCCATGGACTGTCAGCGGGCGTTGGGTATCTAGAGCTACACGTGATAGAGCTACACAGTGCTGAGGGCGGTGATAGATAGGTAGATAAATGAACAGGTGGCTCACTTGGATGACACTTGGCTCGGCTGGTGGTGCGCTGTGGCCTTCAGATGCTCCCGCAGCACGCTCCCACATCGCGATCCCCCATAGTATTCTCAGCGGTAGCGCTACCGTTCCGCCCTCGACGCCCCGTGCCTGGACCTCCTTTCCGTCCGTAGCCAGTGTTGCGACACGCCGGCATATCTCGCCGCGCCTCGCAGCTTGCAAGTTCCCACGAACCTGTCTCCTCCTCCCTCCGCCAAGCCTTGCACGCTCAAACACAGTATCCCGGAGCATCTGGAATTGTCGTCGTCTTCAGCGCTCGGACCTGCCCCTCGGACTGCGCGAGCTCCTATTCCTCAGCGACGGCCGCTCCCGATCCGACAAAGGACCACTGGCACCGTCTGCCACGCCGACTTTTTCTGGAACCATATTTCTACGGCTCGCGCAGGCGCTAGAAGAAATCCCCAAGCCTAGGAAGCTTCCAAGACGCTCGCCCGCCGATTCGAAGCTTCTGCGGCGACGTCGGCCACACATATCGCATGCTCCTCCGCATCTTCTCCGCCCGCCCACGTTCGCTGCCACCGCAAGTCGGGACCCTGCATCCACCCGGCCTCAAGCATTTTTCGAGACACTTCTGAATCTTTGCGCCCATCGCTCGCTGCTCAATTCCCTTCCCCTGCACGACCCCCGTGCGCCCGTCTCCACGCACGCAGCAGGCCTGACATCTCAACACCACGCCTGCTCTCCACATCGCCCACATGGCTTCTGTCGCAGAGGCCCGCCGCAGTCCCTTTTCGGGCGACCCTCACCATCCCAACCTGCACAAGTCGATTCCCATCCTGCCTTCGTCCAGCCCAAGGCTTGCGGCGTCTCGGGACCCCATGGACATCACGCCCTCGTCGTCGACCATGGGCCCGCCCAACGAGCGCACCCAATCGGTCTCGTTCCAGCTGCCGTCGCAAAGAGAAGGAAACGGCGACTCGGAAAACACTTCGCCTCCCAATGGCAACACGGCGCCTGCAGTGGGCGCTGCAGCAGCTGCACAACAGCCCAAGGTCGTCCAGACGGCCTTCATACACAAGCTATACAAGTACGTGTGCCGCAACAGTACGCACGCGATGCGACACTAACACGACACAGCATGCTCGAAGACCAGAGCATCCAGCACCTCATCTCCTGGGCGAGCACTAACGAGAGTTTCGTCATGTCCCCCTCTAGCGAGTTCTCCAAAGTCCTTTCGTACGTACACCTGAAGCCACGGCCGCTCCAGGCTCTCTGACTAACAAATCCCAGGTCCTACTTCAAGCACACCAACATTTCCTCATTTGTGCGCCAGCTGAACATGTACGGCTTCCACAAGGGTACGTGTCCAATTTCTTTCCGCCATGCCATAATCCCATGCTGACTGTACCGCTGCAGTGAGCGACGTTTTCCACACTGGATCGCCAGACACTCCGCTTTGGGAGTTCAAGCACGGCAACGGAAACTTCAAGCGAGGCGATCTGGTCGGTCTGCGCGAAATCAAGCGACGTGCTTCTAGACATGCCCTCGTCCATCGCGAGTCCTTCCCCGCGCCCAAAATGCCCCTTGGCCCACCAGCTGGGCAGGCGGTCGACCCAATGCCGGACCCTGTCGAGTCACGTCTCCAGAGTCTCGAATACAACCTCCATGACATGCATGCGCGCATGCAGCGATCAGAAGACACATGCGCATACCTCACTCAAAGGAGTTCGGTGCTAGCCGAGGGCATGATGAAATGCCACCAAGTAAGTCGATTGTCTAGACTTCAATACACAACAACTAATAGATTATACAGTGGAATCAGGACCTTGCAAACCTCATCATGCAAATGGTGCCGGACCCGGAAAACCCTATCCATAGGGATGGTACGCGTCAATGCTCAAACCTTGTCTGCGCGACACACACTGACTTTTCCAGTCGCTATGATGCAGCGTGAAATTGCTCGACAAACAGACATGCTCCGAGCATTGGAGCCACCAGAAGATGCACCTCTCTCCGCACGCCAATCCTACTTCATGCAAGTAGACAGCAGCAACGGCCCACCCCTTTCACCCCGGCAAATGCCACAAGACAATCTAACAGAGTCGCGGAGAGGATCCTTGGCGAACGTTTCACGGCAAGCTCCATACAAGGCTCCGATCCCGGCCCATCTTGCAATTTCTCCGCGACGTTACGGTTCAATAGGCACGGGTAATTACTCTCCATCTTCAGCCAGAACCCCAGTTTCCCATCAGCCACCCCCACCTCCTCCACCACAAGTCCAGCAGCCGGGAGGTGCAAACCTGGGGAGCAACTTGCCAAGCACTTTGTCCCCTCCGTATAATCTATATAGGCGGCACACCTCGGCAGATATCCGCTTACACGGTTGGCAACCGCAGCCACCCAACCCTGCTATCAATTCGCCCTACGCTTCTGGTTACAACTCCACACAATGGCCCTCGTCACCGCGCCATCCACCTATCGGAGGTGGTGACCAGCAGCTCCGTGATGCATTGGAATCATATCAATTACCCCGCGGTCCACGGCAAGCACAGTCAAGACACGGCTCTCCTCCACCGCCAAATGAAAATATGCCGTCGACATTAAATCCGGATGCTGGCTGGACACTACCGGGAGCTAGGTACCCTTTCAAAGGCCTCGACACTGGACCACCTACTCGACGATCTAGTATGGCGTCCAATGTCCACTCGCTCCTCAATCCCGCGGAAACTGCGGAGCGCAGTGAGGAGGATGAGGCAGATGACGTGCGTAAGCGAAAACGCATGCAGTGATGATCATACTCCCCTGTCCGACGCAAACTCTTGTTGTGTCACGCGACTTCATTTATTCTGTTGTGTCTTTGCGTTTTGGTATGGCGTTCAGCGAGTCCCGCTCCGGACATGAGATCCACATTTTCGATTCCCACATCCTCATCACCGCGTCTGGATATGTCTACCAATATCCAATTTCCTATCTTTCTTATCCATTCCTTAATTCTTATCCAAAAAAGCTGCTTGCATAAAGACATGTACATGCATTGGGTGGTGACGACTTTCGGTATTGCTGCTCATTGACAGGGAGTAATTACGTGTTTGAGTGTCGATGGATTGACTCCACATTTCACTTTGTATGGTGGCAGTCCGAATGGGTCGGTTGGAGGTTGTGTGTGCTAGCCTCGCATGAGGGTTAGTACGGATGCAATGTAAACTTCGGTTACTTGTGAATTACCTGGTGTCTTTTACATACCAATGTTTACAAGCATTGTATATACGAGTAACCCCCTGACTACCTTGTTGTACAATACATGCAGTGGTCGCCGATGTCGCACGTGTGGAAGGTTGACCCTGACGCGCAGGTGACGTCGATGTTGATCAGCTAAACGAAGCGAGTGAGGTTCGGATCACGGATTCCAATTCGAAGAACGACGATTACTAAATGTGGGGTGCCACATAGACCATTAGTGAGTAGAGGGAGAGACGAAGAATCGATAAGTTTTGATCCTTTGCATTCAGTAAGAAAGAATATACTACAACAGTAGCATACAACCCAAGACTCCATTCCATCCTATCCGAACAGAAAGATAGCGACCGTGGTCAACCAGCCGTCCAAACAAACCCCCCGAAAACACCAAACACCGCCCTCCATCCCATATATACAATCCTCTTCCTTTCAACCCCAAACCCCCTTACCAACTTTCCTCTTCAACCCTAAACCCTATACCCAAGCCACCCAATAGTATTCGAATAAACACTCAAATTATCCCTCCAACTCGCCTTATCCACCCCATCCACCGTAACCATCCACTCACTGCCCACCTCACTAAGCGCAAAAGCCTGCACACTGCTATCCCCCTCAATACTAAAAATCCTATTCTGGCATATCCGCGCCCCACCACTCGCATCCGCGCTCGAACAACTAGTGCTGTAATTGCGGAAGAAAGAATACAAACCCCCACCGTACACAAGCACGTTCTTGGAGTTCAGCACGCGCAGACCATAGGCGGAGGCGCCAGATGGATATACGGGGTCGGAGTAGGCAGAGGATGTGCCGTAGGGTTGGTTGGAGGCGTCGGGCGTGGGCATGTAGTATGGTGTTTCTGTTTGGATGAAGCCGGCGAAGATGTTGGATGCGCCGTTGAATTGGTACTGGTAGTTTGCGTGGTGTTCGACGCCGTTGGCCCAGAGCCAGACGTTCGATGCTTCGACGTGCAGGCCGCGG